TGCCTGGAAGATTTACAGTTGCCGAAGGCGGTGAGCGACTGATCTTTTGTTGTGACGTTTTCTATGAAAATTATCAAGTTGCTTCGGCGAGATAAGCTTATCTTCAATAGGTTTTCTTTTCTTAAGTCTTCCTGATTTTAAACCATGTTGTTATAAATGACATCGTAATAATTTCGCTCATCTCTAAACAATAACAAGAAGTGGAAGTTGTTGTAAATGACATAGTTTTATGTCAATTTTCGTTGTTAACCTCACGTCTAAAAATAATAAAACTGTATTTGTAAACACTGCAAGGCGAGTTTTGAAGTTTTCTTTGTGTTAGTAGGCACAGTCGCTTCACAGACCGCTTAAATTTTCTCCTCTGTTGTTTGGGTCAATAAACCATTTTAAGCCGAAGCGAACAGAATTTGCTCGTTTGTGGTGATTTGCAAATCATGTTTACAAAGTATGGAGATTTCCTCGTTTTTTTAGTTCAATTTATTCGGTTTGATGAAATGCTTGGGTGAATTTTCAGGTTGTTGGTTTAAGACTGGTAAAGCTACCGCCGATAAAATGACTGCAAAGCCGTCGGCAAAAATAATATTTAAAAATAATATTGCAAGTCAAACACTGCAAGTCTGCGGACCTTTTGAAGTTTTCAGGCTTGTAAATGCATTTCTTGACTTTAGCTTGAATGATAATCAAGCTTAAACGACTTTTATTTATCCTTTCTTTCATAATTTTGGTCATCCTTCAGGCTTCGATCATTGAGACGGGTTTTGCTGTTTGGTACTCAGATGTAGTGATGTGCATACTGTGTTTATGTATATTTCCTCGTTTTATTTCTTTGTTGTCCAGTTGATTCGGTTTGGTGAAATGCTTAGTCGAAATGTCGGGTTGAACATTACGCATGTAAACCCTGTCTGCAAATAAAGCTGTACTTTGGTTTTTGATTTGCTATGTGATTTCATTACTGCCACTGCATTTGGTCGAGGGTACATGTCTTACGTCGAACTTCGTCCTGAGCGATTACTTTTATCGAGGCCGATGTCAATTAGATCCTTGTCCCTCGAACGTAAAATCTAACTCAAACCCCCACCGTGGTACAAAGGCGGGTGGACTTTGTTTTCATTCTGTTGAGGTACAGTGGGATAAATTTACATT